AAGCAGTTAACGCTGAAAAGTGCGAAGAAACAGTTGTAGGCTGGAAGATTTTGCCTAAAATACAACGATTGTTGCCTTTTTGTTGACCGTTATTCTTGACTACAAAAGATCAAACATTTGTTGTTCTCAGCTTCTGTGGGATTTCTCAGCAAGTATTCGGTGAATCTTGTTTGTTTTATTCTAATTTTGCTGCTAGATTAGCGCTCTAAGTATGTCAATGAGTGAAGAGCCGATGAGTCATCACTCGCCGCGAGCCGCGTGCCCCCCCCCCCAAATACGTTAGCACCCGTAACTGAATCACAGACGTCACTCAGGTTGGGAATTAGGCAGCGTTCAGACTTCGCGACGGCAGCGCTTCGGTCGCGCGTTCGACGCGATCGATGCAGTCGAAAGCATGCGCATCGATCGCGAAGTCTGAACGCTGCCTCAACCAATCTTCACATACAAATACTGTTTAACTTATGTGGCAGAACTGAATAAAAAGGAAGAAGTCGTTTCGTCTGATTCTCATACCTATGGCAGTTTGGAGGCTCAGCGTAAAGGTCTTCTCCAAAGAAACAAGTGAGGTCCTCGTTACGATTTCCTGCCATACAGTCCTCTTCCAAGGCACACAGCACGTGCCTAGAAACAACGCGCAGAAAAGAATGAAAAACAAAACAGTATCAAAATATCACTTGAAAGCACACTGTACGCTCACCTTCGAGAATTCTGTTCCTTGCTACATGCGAGGTGAAGTACCGCAGCTGTGTAGGTGCGCCATATCATCACAAAAGTGCACCGAAACGAGATTGGGGGACAGCGATAGCCAGATTCCTTGGCAAAACACCCAGACGCCACATGGTGCACAACCAGGTGTACTCCTGGCTATTGCGGAATGTGTTACATTTTTGTGCCCTTTCACTTTCAGTTGTTCGCCATCTTTGGCGTCGGCGGTCTCTGACGTCTTCGCTGCGTCAGATCATGGGATCACCGCAAATGCCGCATTCTGCGGATACCGACGGCAGTTCAAAACGGCAGCGGCGCGAGTGCTTTGGCTAGGCATTAGCCCACCAACTCCCTTTCTGCGCACATTCGGCTATGGAAATGGCACATTTCCATAGCTATTTCTCGAGCTGTTTTTACAGCCGGAGCTGTCCACCTCGCATAAGACCAGGAAGCTGCGCCCACGGCGTATCTTTGAAAAAAAAAACTGAAACTGTAAGAAATAACAGCGGCGTCATGTAAAACGTCCACGAGATTCTCTTCTTTAGTCTATCACGCATCAGAGACATCATTAGCTAACAATCTGAGGACAGGATGTAGCTTAGGAGGTCCGCTTTGCGGACATGTCGACGTTGCGTTGTGATCACGTGTGCGGCATTCGCACCAGGAAACAGGTTTTATATAGAAACGCTGTAGTATGTCGAGTGGACGATCCAGGAAGCTGGTGGTTTTGCGCGTCGCTGCAACGTACACAGATCAGTCCCTAACAATAAGGGGGGAGGGTCATGGGATAGGGAGAGAGCTTGCGCTATTCAGAGAAGGGTAGCGCGGGCAAAGGCAAGTGACACT